AAGGGCCCGAAAACGGGCCAGGAGGACCCCAAGAGACCTCCAAGACGGTCCAAGAAGACCCCAAATCGCAGAAACACCGTTCCAAGACGCCCAAGATGGCCTCCAGACGGCCCAGGATGCCTCCAAGACGCCCCAAGAAGCCTTGAAGAGGCTTCCCAAGAGGGCCCCAAGAGCCCTAACATTGTTGATGTCATTGTTTTTGTTCAGAGATGTTTGCTTTTCTCGCCTTTTCGGGCATCCGACGCGTGAAGACGCCCCACACGGCGGGCCCCCACACGGCCCCAAGACGGACTGGGAGGCTTCCAACATGCCCCACGAAGGGCCCCGAAGGGAAACCCGAGCCCACATTTCGAGCCCTCGGCCCCCCAATGCCCCCAAGAAGCCTCCACGAAGCTCCAAGAGGCCTCCCAGAGGCCCCCATGGAGCGCCCAAAAGGGCATCAAGAAGCCCCCAAACGGCTACCAAGAGGCCCTCAGGAGCAACACACCACAACCACCAATCCCCCAAGGGGTCGGCAGTGTGGCGAAAGCCCAGGAATCTAGGGGCACGTTTGACCAGTAACGAATAGGACCCCTAACCCTTTGGGAGGGGACCCACATTGGGAGGGCCAGCAACATTAGGGATAACGGGGGTCTTCCCTGCCGATGTATCGGACCAGCCCGCCCAGATCTATTCTCCCTAGTGCAAAGACGGGGGCCTAAGTGAGACCACGTCTTCACTGTGTTATTAGGGCTAGGGATTAATCTATTCTCGATGACGTTTGTCGTCTATGTTTGAGTGTCCCAAGGTGCTCCAAGGCTTCTGCGTATCCCTGCAACCGTCGTGGGGCAACCGTGTGGCACCTGCTGGCAGGCCGATTCCTCATGTGATGTGCCCGCTGTATGGAGCGAGGCGCCTGGGAGCACCAGAGGTACAACCAGGGGGAACCTTGGGGAACGATCAGCTCCTTCCGAACCCGAACGGCTCCTTGTTTCAGCGTCTTGGCTGCGCTTTGCGGGGCAGACACAGGCGCGAGCCCCTGTGTCCTCCATCCGCCTTCCTCCGCCCGTCCTCCTCCTCTTCCTCCCCCTCCTCTTCCTCCTCCTCCCCAAACCTCCTCGCGCCACGTCAAAACACACGCCGGGAGGAGGAGGAGGAGGAGGAGGAGGAGGAGGAGGAGGAGGAGGATCCGCCCGTCCTTCTGTCGCTCGTGCTCCCGTTGCCGCTCCATCCGCTTACCGGCCTGCTGCTGCTGCTGCGTGCCAAGCGGCCCCGAACCAATAAGGCAAGACTGCCCCTGTTGGACGTCAAGCTGACAACTGCATGTCGCGTCGTCGCTAATTGTGAGCCGCGTCCACGTCGCAGCTCCGGGAGAGGGGGGGCGGGAAGGGGCATGCCAACCCTTGACACCAGCGCTGCCCCGACCTGTGGCCGCCGCGATCTCGCTGCAGGGACCTCAGACATCGGCAGCGGAGGTCCGGCTCGGGGTCGGACACCACGCCGCGATGCCGACGGGAGCGGGGCAGAAACTGCCTCCAGAGGTTCGCGCGGATTGCTCAGGCCGTGGCTCGGACCCCTCCCCCGGCGTGCCGGGGGCGCGAGGGTGCCGAGCGCCGACTTCCAGAGGTCCGCGCGGCGCTCCGGAAGTCCACGTCTGCCGACGTGCACACCAGTTAAAGCGACGAAAAGAAGCGGGTCCAACGCGAGATGGCATGGCGACCTTACCACCAATGGAGCGACGAAAAGAAAAACGGGTCCTACGCGAGATGGCATGGCGACCTTACGCGGTGGCTTACGCAGGCCGCCAGCGCGGCACGCCACATTGGAAAGGAAGGCGCTTGCGCGCCACCTCGCGCGGGACGCTTGGGCACGCATGTCGGCGCAATCGAGCACGTTGTTCGGCTTCGCTCAATTGAGATCTCGTGGGCGCAAGACATATCCGTGTCAACGGCCTCGCGGGCCAGGCCCCTGGGCTGGGACCCCGCGGACACGGGGCACCTTTTCGCGGATGGCCCGCGCGGCACGTAATTAGCCGTGCGACCCCGCATCCGCGGGATCGCGCCCCTGAATCTAGACCGCGATGGCGCGGATATGGATACGTTCGCCGCTCACGGGAGTCTGCGTCGATCGAAATCCATGACCATCGAAGTCGGAGCTCCGATGCAGTGCACGCAATGTCGAAGCCAATGCTTACACGCACTTCTTGCTTCCTCCGGAGCCCTGGCGCCGCCTCGATGTCACCGCGGGTCGCCACCCCGAGGAAGGCAGACCTGGATCTCCGAGTGGCGGGGCGCCGACGGGCGCCAAACCTGGCAGGGCGGCCCCTGCTCTTTCAGGAGAGGCGCACCGGCCCCTCGAGATGCCAACCCTTGGTTGGGAGCGCAAGCCCTGGGAGCGCCACCGACAGGGCCGTATATCCGCCCGACCGTGCGCCGTTTTGCAGTCGGGCGGGAGCACGCACCCCCAGGGCCAGAGGCGAGGGAGGCGGCAAGGAGGCCAAAAGGGGAGGACAGGAAGTCATCGAAAGCGCCTCAAGGAGAAGACTATCGGGGCGGTGAGGCACTTGGGCCCCAGCCCAGAGCAGGAGGAGGAGAAGGAGGCGGAGGAGGAGACCTGCTCGTCGACGTGCTCATCCTCTCGCGAAGCAGGCCGCGCGAAGTGGGAGCTCTCTCTCTAGCGCAGCCTCCCAGACGGGGTAGTCGAACAAGGGGTTATCGGCGTGCACTCTCGACCGCTCGCACAAGGGTAGACAATAGACATTACAAGACAATCGCATCGGAGGTCCGAATACTCAATGTAGAACGATCGAAGAGCTCAGCGAGCTGCTTCGCCGACTGAGACCTACCTGAGGTCGCAAGTGGTCCTGGAGGAGCGATACCCAAACCACCTCGTGTCGCGAAAAGGAAGGACACGACAGAAAGTGCTCGGCAAACTTTGGCCTCTGGGGGCCCTCACCGGGCCCAGGACCGTCAATGGCGGCTCGGGCTGAGAGGCCAGTCCCCTGGGAGGGGGTCCAGTCCTTGGGTGGGCATGCGGAGCGGGAGGGGCAGGAGGGCGGCAAGGGCACCAGCACCAGGGGAAGGGTGGACGGAGAAACAGCAGGAGCCAGGAGCGAGAGCAGAGGAACCCAATCCAAACATGCCAGAATGAGGTCGGGCCTACAGGCGGATTTCGGACGAAAAATCAAAACTAGCCAGACAATATTCAAACATAATCAAGACATGCTCCAGAAATCGTCCCCATCTTGGTTTTTGACTATTTACTGAATGTTCCTCCTGTAGAAGGACACGCCCGACTGAACGCCAGAAAGATAAACACGGTCGAGGGTCCGCGCGGAATTCCTGGGTCGGCGCCGACCCCCTGGCGGCACCTCTGGCGCCGCCCTCCCTGGCGCGCGGAGCACGCTGGAGGAGAGTCGACGGTTCCTGTTTTTCTTCGAGGGGCGAGATGAGCGCATGGAAGGGACACTTTGGTCGCCGGGAGGGGGGCATTGGGCCTACCTCATGAGGTGGATCAGCTTCCTGTAGCCCAAAAATGCCTCGCTGACCCACAGGCCTGAGGGCGGCCATTCTGGCCAGGGCAAGAAGGTCACGACGGAAAGCACAGAGTGGAACATGACGGAGATCCTTGCAGCAGAGGAAAACGGTATGGTAATGATCGGGAGGCGACTGCAAGGAATATATTGGGAGACAGCAGCACGAGGAGTACCGTGGCGAGAAGATGATTGGAGATGGCGAGGGTGATTGGAGATGGGGGACGCCAACTTCAAGTTTGAGGCAGCCAAAAACAATGATGAGGAGTGGCGACAATGCAGAGAGGAGGGAAGCAGGCACAACAGGCGCACGCGAACGACAAGGCGTGGGCGTGCGCGCACAGAGCGGGAAACGACTCACTCCTGGGCCATTCAACCTTCCTCTCGCTCTCCCTCCCCTCCTCGTCCGCGTTCGAGGCCGCAACCTATACAGATCTACCGCCTGGTAAGCGATGTCCCAAGACAAAAGGGGGCGGTAGATATGATACCTGGGCCCCAGGGGCCACACAATGCGCCCCACCGTGCCCACTGGCACGTTGAGGCGTGGCAGAATGGCATGTGCTGTCTGATAGGGCTTCTGCAATCTTCTGAGGGCCACCCCCTCTCGTCGCAGACTGTCGCGCGCATCCCCCCCCACCTCTTTCCCGAGGCCACGATCCATCGTGAAACGCGCCTGGGTCCAAGATGGCCGAGTCAGGCCCCAGGACGGCCCACCCAAGTATTGCAAAGAGACGGCCTATGAGGCGCAAAGACACCCCCAACAATGGCGACCAAAGGACCCCCAGCAGGGCTCGAGGAGGCCAAGATCACTCATGCCTTAGGCGTGTCAAAGACTCGGGCGGCTTCAATTTTTCGGACTCTAGACGGCCCTGGAGGCCCTCAAGATGACCCAAGAGGGCCCCAAAATTGTCCCATAATCCTCCCAGGTGGCCTCAAGACAACACAAAAGGGCGCCCAGACAGCCCATGAGGGCCCCGAGACAGCTCCCAGCTCGGCTACACGCAAGAGTAACCCTAAGCAAACATGACATGCGGTGCGCGGCTCAACGAGGGACGCGGGGTGGCCAAACCTGGGCGCGCAATCCGCTGCTACCGCTTCGCGTTAGACGATCAGGGGGCCCCATTGGGCCCGCAAAAGTCACTCCGGCGAAAGGTTGCCCTTACGTCTAGTCGACAAGCTGGCGCGAGAGACCCTCTGGAGGCACCCCAGACTGCAAGCGAGGGCCTCTCGACATTCCAAGGCGCCCCCGCGACGGGCGCAGGAGACCCCCCCAGCAGGCCAATAAGGCCCCAAGACGGCCCGGGGGATGTTCAAGTCGGCCCAATGCAGGCCACCAAGGCCGCCAGGATGGCCACCGAGGCTGCCGAGGCCGCTCTTCACATAGTCCGCCCACTGCCCCCTCGCCATCGAAACCGTTGCCCGCCTCCACGTCCCAACTGCCCCCTCTCGCCGTACGTACTTCCTCCTGCCTCCCACTCCTCCCACTGGCCGGTGTGGTTGTGAACCGTGGTCTTCAGCTTGGCAAGGTCGAGCCCTCTGGGATAGAGCTCCAAAACGACGGCGATTGCCTCCATCAGCTGCGGGATGGAGCTAATGACTTCCTCAGGGCCGCAGCCACGCAGAACAACAGCGGCGGGTACAAAAAAGATAACCAACAAAGGAGGGGCAATATTAAAGACAAAAGAAATATGGGGTGAGGAAGACGAAGAAAATGAAGATACGGAAAAAGAGGAAAAGAAGAGAGCACGAAGAAGACGAAACGGAAAGGCGGGGGTTGACGAAGGACAGAGAATGAGAATGATGCATAGAGGGAGGCGGTGAAAACGGATACGAAGGATGAAACGGCGCAGCAGAGGACAAGCCACAAGCCAAAAGAAGATAGGATAAGGGGCTCGTGCGAAAAAAACATGGGGAATCAAACTGGATCCCTCCCAAGACCCTGGTCATCCAAAGCAAAAACTCACACTGCGAGCCCGTACCATTCCTCCCAACCCTCCTCTCCGCTATCCTCTCTCTCGTCTCCTCCGCCATCCATCTTACCCCCTCCGCCCACTCCTCACGTTTTCTCCCCCTTCTCCAGAGTACCCTCCCTCTCCCCCCCCTTCCTCCCCATCGTTCCTCCTGGTATTCATCCTCATCCCCACCCCTCGTCCTCGTCCTCTGTCTGATTCCTCAGCCTGGTATGGCTCTCCATCCTCCTCCTCCTCCTCCTCCTCCTCCTCCTCCTCCTCCTCCGTCGGCGACGAGTGGGGGCGGTCGGAGGTCGGTGCGTTCCCCCCCGAACCTGTCCCCTCTTGACGCTGCCCCTCACCAGCCCCCGCTCCTCGAAACAGCCCCCTCCCCAAAGCGCGCAAGCGCGCTCGCGCGGCAGCCCGACTGGACTGCTCGACGCGTGCGCCGATGCTGGCCGGCCGCTTACGGGGCCAACGGCCGCGGCTACGCCCTCCCAGGCCTGCCGGGGACGGCCGCTCCCCCGCCCCATCCTCATCCTCATGATTTTACTCGCGTGGCCAAAGAAACCGATTGGCAGTGGGAGGAGACGGCGATGACGGCCAGATGCGACCGACGGGATATTACACAGAGGACGGGCAACTTGAAGCGGCTGTGCAAGAGGCCAGCCGTACAAACCCACCGCTTACTCTGCGAGGCAAGCGGTGGCACGGTCATCAGCTTCCAACCTAAACGGGGCAGATGAACGATCGTTCTTAGACAAAGGCGTCAGCACGCATCAAGAACACTGGGTCTGATTAGGGACGCCATGCAGCATGGCATGCATCCTCCCACACAATCTCGTCCATGTGGAACCTTCGAACAATCTTAAACCTGGAAAAGCCGTGACCCGAGGGGTCCACAGAAGATTATAATACGCGCGATGCCCACACCAGGGCGAATCACTTGTTTGACTGTTTACATGATTTTATGTCTATATAACGGCAAGAGGGACATGGCCCCCATTTCCGACACAGGCCTCCCACCGAAACGCAACAATGGCACCACACTCAAAATGAGCAAGCACCCTGGACGAACAAACGTCGCACCACCAACAGACTGATGACCGCAGACGGTGTGGTAGAGGGTTCCATCCACAAGCTGGAGATACAATGAATGCCACCAACCATGGGCGCCTCTCCATTTTCTTCCACCCCCCTTGCTCCTTGCTACAACCTCGGAACAGATGTCCCCAAACGCCGTCATACACGGCAATACCGATTGACATCGTGTTGGGAATGCCCACAACAATGCCACTCGCCACTTTGAAGCGCAGTCGTGCTACATGTGGACCATGGGTGGGTATCCATAGCACCGTGCCAATACTTCAATGGATATACGGCCACCACGACGTCTGTTATTTCACCGTTCAATGTCGAAGAAAACGTGACAAATCCAGTGTGTTGGGAACGCATGGCGGCCATAACGGATGCCACCAAACGACGGAGAAAGCAAGCAAATTCTGAGGATGTTTCGAGCGGCACTGCGCCGAAACCACCACAAACCAGGGCCAAACCAGGCAACTTGTGAGGACGTCCCAAGCGAACTCGGACCCAAACTCGGCCAAACCAGGGCGAAGCCAGGGAAAGGTTGAGGACGTATCAAGCGAGACCGAGCCCAAACCAAGCCAAACCAATTCCAAACCAAGCAACTTCAGAAGATGTCTCAGGCGGGGCGGGCAACCAAACCAAACCCAAACCGGGCCAAACCAGGGGCCAAACCACACATATTTTGAGGACGTCCCAACAAAAATCGCCCAAGCCAAGCTCAATCCACGCTCAATATATGTCCCGTTGGACGAATGGATCACCCCAAGGCCCCCCCCTCCGCAGGCAGAAGCCCATTTAGAATTTTATGGGGGGGCCGTTTGGAATGCGCGCCCGCTGATGCGGGCGGAGCTGGGCGCAGAAAGCTCCATTTGTCTTTCAGATATTGTTGGAGCCTTGGTGTGGCGTGAGGAGAAATACCTCCGAGCCTGAGCAGCCTCGGCAAACTGTTCTGCGAACGCCGCCACGCGCGCTACTTCCGATCCAAAGCGCATTGGGAATGCCAGCGACAATGCCGCCCGCCATGTTGAAGCGCACTCGTGCTACATGTTGACTAAAGAGATATTCGCGACGCCATACCATTACTTTGGCTTGTACGCGCCCACGCGGCGTGGGTTAATTCACCATTCAATGCCGAAGAAAACGTGACACATACCAGTGTGTTGGTACCGCATGGCGACCATGACGGATGCTGCTAAACGGGGGAGGAAGCAGGTAACTCCTGAGGACGTCGCAAGTGAAACTGGGCCGAGACCCAATTAAACCAGGACCAAACCAGGCAACTTGCGAGGACGTGTCAAGCGAACCCGGGCCCAACCAAGGCCAATGCTGCCAGGGAAATGTTGTGGACGTCTCAAGCGAGACCGAGCTCACACCAGGCCAAACAAAGTCCAAACCGAGCAACTGTTGAGGACGTTTCGGGCGAAACCGAACCCAAACCAGGCCTAACCAGGGGCCAAAACAAGCAACTTGCGAGGATGTCTCAGGCGGGGCGCGCGGCGCAAAATCAGGCCCAAACCAGGGGCCGAACCAGGCAGATGTTGAGGACGTCCACACCGAATCGCCCAAACCAGGCCCCGCCCTCTCTCATGAATACAATTCCAATGAAGCGAGTGGATCTCCCAAAGACCCCCCCCAGGGCGAAACCAGGCAAATGTTGAGGACGTCTCAAGCGAAACCGAACACACACCAGGCCAAACGAGGCCCAAACCAAACAGGTGATGCGGAAGTCCCAAGCGAAACCAAGCCCTAACCCATGCCAAACCAGGGGCCAAGCCTGGCAACGTATAAAGATGTCTCGGCTGGCCGCGCGATCAAACCGGGCCAAACCAGGGGCCAGACCAGGCAGATGCTGAGGACGTCCCAGGCAGAATCGCCCAAACCAGGCTCCATCCACCCTTCTTGATAAAAAAACTACATTTAAAGGAGTGGATCACCCAATGACCCCCGCCCCCCGCAGGCAAAAGCTCGTTTATAATTTTACGGAAAGGAGTTTGGGCCGCGCGCCCGCTGATGCGGGCGGAATTGGGCGCAGAAACTTGAATGTGTCTTTCACGTGTTGTTGGGGCCTTGGTATGGCGTACTTGAAGAGAAATACTTCCGAGCCTGTAGTGGCCCCAAGAAGTCCGCTTAATTATGAATCCACACACGTTGGAGGTCATTCGGACATAGTGCGACACCCTCGATGATCCCGTCAAAGGGGGAAGAGCGACCAACATCTGCCTATATACGTGGATGCCTCAACCGCTTCGGAGATCAACACCAACAGGGTAAATCGAGATGGTCACTGCGCGAACGGCGTCTGTCATCATCGCTACCACTGCACACTTCGCATGCGCCCCTCGACCCGGAAGCCAAATACTTAAATCAGATGAGCGATTGCCTCCTGATTGGATGCGCGCAGCCGCGGCAACGACAGCCAAAGCATCATTCGAGCATATCCCGTGGGAGCGACGCATGGGCCAGAGGCCTGCGGCGACTCTTCGCGTGCAGCCGGCAGAAGTACGGCATGGCTCCATGACGCCCAAACGATGGGGGGCATCCCCCTCTCTCTCTCTCTTTCTCTCTCTCTCTTTCTCTCTCTCTCTCTCTCTTTTTCTCTCTCTCTCTCTCTCTTTCTCTGGAGCCGTAGATCTTCAGCACAAGAGTTGCCTTCAATTTTTGAAGCTCGCCTTCTGTATCCCAAAAGAGCCCCAATGCTGCTGGGCAGCTTTCCAGGTAACAGGCGCGATGCGAGCTACCAGTAAATCTAAGCCATCACAGGCAATCGTTCCCAGGAGACGCTGATGGAAGCGAGTACGCAGCCATGTGAAGCAAAGCCTGGCTCAGTGTGTGTGTGTAGTGGATCATCTCGCGCGCGAAAGATACCCGGACCCTTACCCAGGCGGGGTGGCAAGGGGCGGGGGGAGCGACGCGCCGCAGCCGACAGCGGTTGCACAAGTGCAGATGCGACGGCCCATGGAACATTACAGGACGCTGTCTTCTCCGGGCATCCGCTGGCACCGAAGGCGCGCGGGTTCCAATCGGCAGAATGGCCGACCACGCATGGGTCGCTCTCGGGCTAGAGTAGCTCGTTCGGAGGCGCGCCCACGAAGGCGCACAATCAAGCGTATGGGGCTCGACGCGCGAACTGCGTCCTGGGTGTCCTGGGCGGGCGCCGCTGCAATCCCGCGCTCGCCCCAAACGCCTGGGGCCCCGAACGCCAGGTGCGGTCGCCAGGGGCTGCTCCCTGGAAAATCCGCCTGCCATCATCCCAGCTAGGTCCAGGTACGTATCGGGGGGCACAGTCTCCAACGCGCGTTGATGGGATCCCCGGACACGTACCCGTACCTAATCGAGGTGGCGTTTGGTCGAAAACGCTCTCGGGCGCACGCGCGGCCCCCGAGAGCGCTCCCGAACGCGGTCGTAGCGACCCCTCGGGGGAACGTGAGATTGCAACGACGCTCCTGCGGGCAGGCCCAAACGCAACGGAGTGGTGGTGCCTGCCCCCAGATGGGACAGGCACCACCACTGGAATGTTGATCTAAACCCCGCGGACACCCCCGATGCTCCCAGACGTCCCTTATGCAAACCAGGGCGTGTCGCTGCAACCAAACAACCAGCCGTTCAACGTGTCGTTGCGTCCTGACGCGCGGATGCTGAAACAGCGCGCACTCGGCAGGCTGATCGGGCGCAGTAGCAAGCGCCCAATCCAGCGGACGGCCCTTTTCACCCAGGCCGACCCCGGGCAAGGGTATGTTTAGGACCAATGAGATCAGGCTGAGCATGCAGATGCATCGCACGCAGGAGCCCAAACGAGGCTGTTCAAAGGAGCGCACCAGAGGCGAACTCATCGAATGTGACGCGGCGAAATTTAGCATTGCCGACGCCAGAAAAGAATTACGTGACAACCAGAGTTGCCGCGTGCAAGCGCAACAATACAATGGCATTGAAAATGCAATCCGGAAACGAACGCCGCAACTTCATGACCACTCATCGGCTCAATCCGTTTGAGGACACTCGGTAGCGCAATGATGTGCAAATGACGTTCGCGCGTGTATGTGCAAATTGCACATGGGCAGATGCACTGAAGACGCTGGCAGGTGCCAAAACGAAGCACGCATGGCTACAGCGAAAAAGGACGTTGCTGAATAGCGGCGACACTTGGCTGACATCCGGGCGTTCGTTGGTGGACCGAGGTGATGACAAACCCTGCGGCCAAAACAACGCTTCAAATCGAAAGCGTGAGGAGTCTGTTCTGTGGCCACGTCTTGTGGGCGCGCTGCGTTTCCACGGCGGCCACTACGACTGGTTCGGCGAGGCGACCGCAACAACCCCAACACTGTCGCAAGTATAACAACATTCCGCTCAGGTCGTCGCCGTGTCTTCCTCGGAGTAAGGCTTGCTAGGAGGACAAGGAGGAAGGGAGGGGCATGGAAGAGGGAGCAAGAATGGTGGAGACGACTGCAAGCAATGAGATGTAAGCACAGCGTTTGGCCAAAAGAGGGGGGTAAATAATGGAAAGACGTCTGCGGCTGCGGGAACCCTGGGGAGTGCTTCTCCGCCATCGTTTGCGGCAAAGTACTGTGTGATTCACATGAGGCATCAGTGCAAGAGGCAGGGCGGATGATGGCAAAGGGATCGCTGTCTTGCACAATGCCAAGGCATCAGCTGCGACGAAGGCTGCAGCACGAGACTTCCTTCGTCCCCTCTGAAGGACGCACGCCGCCCTTGACCGCGTTTGCCTGAGCCTCGTAGCTCGAGTTGGACAAAGATAACCGCCTCGCTGCTGGCGACCCTCTCTCTGTCTCTCTCCCTATCTCCCTCTCTTTCCGATTCTCTCTTATTATATGTTTGTCTGTCTGTCTGTCTGCCTGCTATGTGTTGTTGTATCTCTCTCTTTCTCTCGCTCTCGCTCACTCTCTCTCTCTCTCTCTCGATCCATTATGACTGCCCTTAGAATCGACACTTGATGTGTTGTTCGCTTTCCCTCTTTCTATACCTGTGTCTCTCTGCCTCCCACTCGCCTTGTCGCACCATGGGCATATATGCAACAGGCTTTCAGACGATAACGGGGCTGAGGCGCACGACATGTGCCAGGCCACGTTTCGTTTCCCGCTGAGACTGCTCGCGTGCCGCTCTGAACCATCGAATCCACTGCGCAAGGACGCAATGAGAAAACGAGGGAGGGGGAGAGAGAGAGAGAGAGAGACAGAGAGAACGAAGCCGGATTGACCCCTCTCCTCCTCGACCGTGCACCGGCCAATGCATCTGGGTATACCCCACTTGCATGTCACGCGCCGGGAGCCACTATGGCGCGCTTTGTGGCCGAATGACCTGTTTAATGGCGAGTCACAAGACGTGACCACTTGATGCGGTAGGTGAGGCCATGACAACGTGCCAGGGCGTAAAAGCTTGGGCACTCCTATTACAAGTATCAAGAGATTGCACTCAGATGCGCAGCTGCTTCACTCGCGGGATGACCCGAATCAAAGCGAAGGCCGAAAAAGCGTTGAACTCTGTGCGGGCGGATGTCGACTGGTGTTTAATCCTCAACTGTGCTGCTCCTGTAGGGCGTATCGCCCATTTTGGCCCGCCTGCCCCACGTCTACGTGGCCAACTCGGAGACGCCCAGCAGCCCGTGGAGTCGACTGCGAGGGGACGCGAGCAATGAACGACTCGCTCGCCCAGAAAAAGTTCCTACGCTCCCCGCTGGTGATCCATGGATCCCCTGTACTCGCTGCGATTTCTCTCCTCCCTTCTCCATCCCAGGGCTAGCCGCCGAGAGAAGCACAAGGAGAAGTTTGCCTCCCTGCCGCGGGTTAGTACAACTCTGGCCCCGTCCCAGTTCTTGGGCCCACCGCTTGAGAATAGCACAAACGTCATGGACAACGATCTCTCCTTCCCTGTTCCTGCTCCCCTCCATTCTTCCTCTCCCTGTCCCTCCCATCAATCTCCCCCTCCTCTGCCGCCTGCTCGACCTCTTCCTCCTCTTCCTCCTCCTCCTCCTCCTCTTGCTCCTTCTTCTCCTCCTCCTCCACTTCCTCGCTCGCAAACCAAACTTCCTCCTGTACCCCCCCACACTCCTTCCTCCTGTACCATCTTCCCCGTCCCCCATCCTCTCCTCCCCCAATCCTCGCCGCCCTCATCCTCCTCACCCTCCCACGCCTCCACCTCCTCATCCGCCACCCCGACCCCAGACGTTGCACTTGTTGTCTCGCATCGCGGGCCCCGCAGGTTCCGACCCGTCCCTGGGAATTGTTTGATTCATAATTTTCCACCGTCGACAAGTGTTGATTGACTGTCCCGCGGGGCCTTGCAAGGGCCAACAAGGCCGAACAATTGCAAAACATTCCGTCGCGATTTGTTTTTTCACTAAGCGAAGTGGCATGGGCAATTGTGGGGCTCAGAAATCGACCCGCTGACCGGTCCTGCGTTGCGTTCCGACCAGAATCTCGAAAGGAATCGAAACATGGCGGCGAGAAGCCCCCTGGAAACAAGAAAAACAATGAACAAAACAGTCCCTCGAACCTCGATGATCCACCCCCCCGGCCCACCGTGGAGGACCGCCGGTGCACCTGGCACCGCGGATAGCCGGGACGGTTTGGTTGCGCCGAACGCCCGCGCAGCGCCAGAGCTGGAACGAGCCACCCTGCTCCTGGACGGGCGGCGGCGGCGCGAACGCGGGAATGTGTATGTATGTGTGTCTGTATGTATGCATGTGTGCATGTATGCATGCACTTATCTATGTATGCACGTACGTATGTTTAGATTCATATAATGCATATGTACGTATGTATGTATATATATATATATTCCCATCTGAATCATCTCACACCCAGAAACTGGCACTGATGGGCGCCCGTTCCCCCCCCTCTCAATCGAATCTGGCGGGCCCATAGGCCCAAGAGGTCCCTGAGGTTCGCTCTCTGGTCCTCCGTTCGGGCCGCCACTTGGGCCGCCCAAACCTCGCGGAACCCCCACTTGGACCGCCACTCGGGCCTCCCAGACCTCGCGGAACGGCCCAAGATCGTCCGCGGCAGCCCCGACACACCCTAAATTCCACGAAGAGAGCCCCAGTCACCCGAGCACGCATCCGAGAGACCGACATGTTTCAAAAACGTCAGACTGAGGGGGCCGAGCGGTCATTCATTGTCCCTGCGCGCGTGGCTGAATAAGGAATGCGTGCTGAGAATTATTTGTGTTGCGTTGTTGTTGTTGATGATGTTGTCGTTTTGGTTGAATGTTAATTATTCCATAATTATCATTGTTGGACCCCTTGCAGGCGCCCTGGTGCTCTCGCCGAGGCGCCGGCTGCATTCTCATAAATGAGGCTCACTCTCATGCGGTTTGGGGGACCACCAAAACCGGCCCCCCAACAACTACGCCGCTCCGTTCGAGACTCCCCCCTTTTTTACTCAGCGCAGGTGCTCTTGTTCGCTGCCGAAAGCAGCCGTCTCAACAAAACCAGCGCTCCCACTCGAGAGTTCCTCCCGTTTTACCTTGGATAAACGCGCTATTCTTTCTTTCATCGGCGCCGCCCACCCCAGCAACAACAACAACGCTCCCGCTCGAGACTTCCTTCCTTTTTACTCAAGGCGGTGCTTTTGCTCGCCGCCGACAGACCCCGCCCCGACAAAACCAACGCTCCCGCCCAAGACTTCCTTACGTTTTACGCTGGACTGGCGCCCTGTTTTCCTCCTCTTCCTCCTCCTCCTCCTCCTCCTCCTCGTCGTCCTCCTCCTCCTCCTCGTCCTCTTCTTCCTCCTCTTCCTTCTCCTCGTCCTCGTCCTCCTCCTCCTCCCTCCTCCCTCTCTTCCTCCCTTTTCCTTCCTCCACCCTCCCCTCTTGTCCCTCCTCCCTCCTCCGTCCCTCTGTCCTCCCTCCTCCTCCCTCCCCACTTCTCCCCCCTCTCCTCCTCCTCCTCCTCCTCC